TTATAGGATTATATTTTATCAAGTCAGCATTCGCTAATGGTTAATATAATATTGATGTTATACAAATTGATCTCTCACAAGTGACAATAAAAGTAGAGTTGAAAGTATTTGTTTTTAGATGCCTTTAGTAGTCTTTATAACATGGGGGCGGTTTGGGTGACATGAATCTCTCATGTCATCCTATGACATGAGCCCTGATTAGGGCATCTACGATGTTCCTTTCGAAAAATTTATGGTTCCTACCCCCTAACCTTCCCGGTAAACCCCCCACCTTCGGCCCGACCCAAACACTACCCCTACACATCCGTCAATTGCATGCCACAAGATTTAGTTGACTTTAGAGTCAAATTTTGACTCCAAAGCCAACTAAATCTTATGGTATGCAATTGACGGGGGCTGCAGGGGTATGTTTGGTACGGGCCGGGGGGGTTTACCGGTGGGGTTAGAGGGATAGGAACCACAAATTTTTTGAACGGAACATCGTATGAACCTCGTGTTATCCTATGACATTGAATCTCAATGTCATGGTAACCAAGGTGTTATAAGTTATAACATTATACAAAATTATTGTATACCTCAAAAATTTCCAAATTATTTTAATTTAGCTAAAAGTTTGACATATTAATTTTCAAATGTATGTAGTAAAATTATCATTAGCAAATGTTATATGCTTTATCATTATTTTAACTTTTATGTTCAATCTTTTATTTTGTTCGATTTTTGAAAAATGTTGCTGTAAAGAAAAATTACAAATTCGTTTCAAAAAAATAATTTAATCCCGTGCATAGCACGGGTCAAAATACTAGCAAGTTGAAACATCTGACCCTTCTCCTTGTTTAAGAACACGGACAAAAGAATCTCACAATCTAAAAAATCGACACGTCACAAATATCAATAGTGGCACTTGTATTTCCCAAACGGCAAAGTTTCGTGCCTTCCACAATGCCCTACACGTCCAAGCTATTAGACCCCTAACACCCCAAAATAGCCCCAACTTTATATCTCATAGAGATCACTTAAAAACTATCCCTTTATTCCAACCCATCCAAACTAAAATTGTAAAACCAACTGAATCGATTTACATATTGATGAATATTATTCATATTCACTAGTTTTGGATGGTATTCATATCCGCATTCGCTTTGAATATTTTTAAAGATTCACATTTGATTTGTTTATCGCACATAAGATATTCGATTTGTTTAAAAATTTAGTTTGATTAAAAATATTTGGGTTGTTAAAAAATATTCAATTCGTTTAAATTTTAAGGTATCGTATAAACATTTAATTTATTTTTAAAAATTAATGTGAATGATGTTAAACTATTTTTTCTAAAACTCTTTGTATAATATAGTTTGGAATTAGCTTTTGAGAAAAAATAATATAAACTCATAGTTTACACATTGAAGATGAAAATAAAAACATAAATTTGACTTTGAAGTAATTAGTGAATTCTCTATTTATTTTTAAATATTTACTACTCCGTATTTTACTCATCTTTTCGAATATATATGGTGTATAGCAAATGGTGTACAAAAAGTTTGTTTTGTTGCTGCATTTAGCTAATGAAAAGGACTCCATACTAACTACGGAGTAAAATGTCATACCCAAATGTCAAGAAAAAGGGTGTCCAAATGAACACTCACCAGTTCAACTTCTATGTCCCGTCCTTTGTTCTTAAATGAACACTTGCCAATTTTTCAGGTAAAAAAGGATGACTTTTTTCTTTCCATTTCTAAAGAAAAAAACGTTATAGAATTGTAGTTTGCACATATTTGCAATATGGACATTTTAATTTATAAAGTCCAACTATCAATATTCTTTTTTCTTCCTGCCACATTACAAATTAATATTGGTGACAAAAAAGTATAGTTTTGTGACACTTTTGTCTAATACATATTCATGACAAGAGCTTAGTTTGGACATTGTTTCCATGGAAACGTCTAACTTTTTAGAAAATGGAAAGATTGAATCGTTATTTAACAAAGTGTTATAAATTTGTGATGTAATACTAAACTAATTTGTTCACTTTAACTTTACATACATTAAGATTTTAATAAATTCGAATAGGGTATATACATGAGTAAGTCTATTTTCACACCATTTCAAATGGTCGTGTCAAACGACGACACCGGTTAAATTAAGGTACCTACGATGTTCTGATTGTAAAACTCATAGCTCTTACCCCTAATCCGACTCTTAAACTCCCAGCGCACCCCCCATCCTCTGTCTCATTCCCTTGTATCACTTTCACCTACACAAATTCATTTTTTTAAACTCAATACATAATCAAACTAGGATCTTTAAATTTGAATGAATTAAATATAAATGAAGGACCAAAATAGTATGGAGTAATATCACATACGAAAACTAAATATGAAAACTGCACCTTTAATATAACCAAATTATGGCAAATTATACCGTACATCCGGCTGTATATGAAGAACCGTACAGCCGGCAATTAATTAGGGCGAACGGTAGGTCACCTGCGCAAGAACGGCCGAATGGATCGGCCACGAAGAGGCTGCACGATGGATTCCAGATGGGCGATTCCCGATGAAGGAGGCTGCGCGGCGATGAAGATGGAGGTTGTTGATGAAGGTCCGGAGGTTGTTGATGAAGATGGAGGTAGTTGGATTCCCTATCAATTCTGGTTCTGTTCGAGATGGTCTTCCGCAGCAAGATCTTTTCTTCCGCTGGGAATGAGTCTTCCGCCGCCCAAGATCTTTTCTTCGCGATGGTCTTCCTCCGCCGCAGCTGTTTAAGATTATGAGTGGTAGTTTGTTTAAGATTGAGTGGTAGGTTATATGGGAATGAGTACTAATGTGTTTTAGAATGAATATTATGTTATTCATAAATGAATATTGAACAAATTTGTGAAAATGAGTACGATGTTATTTATGAATGAGTACTGCGTTATTTCAGAATGAGTACCATGTTTTTCAAATTAACTCTTATGTTTGTGCGGATGTACCATATACCAACTCCCAAATTATATAGCATTTAATCATTCCCACGGCTAAAACTTTCAATCTCAATTCTCTTTATAAACAAGATCAAGAACTTTCAAAAAAAGTAATTCATCCCAAGGCAGTATGGCTTCCAAAGTTTGGATTCATCTCTTCTCTTCTACCATTTGCTTTAGCTTATGGGTAGCCATTGCCGGTGCACGACCGCCGGCCGCCGCACCCTCGACACCTACCGCCATTCCTCCAATCGCCTCTACACCGCGGCCGGTGCTAACCGCCGTCCCACCTAAAGCCACCAACCTTCCAAAAGTAGCTGCTACTCCAGTTTCACCACCACAACTCACACCCCTCGCCCCACATGCCGTCTCAACGCCGCCATCGCAGCCACCAGCACTGCCGCCGGCAGAGAAACAACGGCCGCCGCCTCGGGCAGCTAAGCCTCCGGCCATGCCACCACCACCCAGGCCGTCACCGGCTCCTGCACCAGCGCCAATTAGCATGCCACCAACGGTTGCGGCACCGATATCGGCGCCCATGCAAGCACCGCCGCCTCCCAAGAAGCACCAGAGAAAGAAGTGGAGACGACGACACAAGCACAGGCATCACCACCACCACGCCCCACCACCGCCGCCGCCGCCAGTTGTGAGAAGCCCGCCGCCGCCACCTGAAGTGGAGGAACCAGCAACGCCAGCTCCATCCCCATCTCTAAGTTTGGTAAGAGACTAATTATATAAAATATTTAAATTTCTCATGACATTAAGGACCAATGTCATATTTTTCCTAGGAGTCCGCACTTTGGTAATGTGACATTCTAAGTTTGGTAAGAGACTAATTATTTAAATAATTTTTTTTAAATGTTTTACTCCGTAACAAATTGACTTTAGTGTCTTTATTTGACGACAGAATGAAGGAACGTCGATTCTGGGACGACGAGGAAGAAGATCAAGAATGTGGACAAATGTTGGTCTGGCCGTGACTATTTTATTGCCCATTATAGCCTAGACATTAACCTAAGTTCTTTTTTCTTTCTTTCTTTCTTTAAATTTTCTTTAAGATGAAGCTAAGCAATTGGATTAATTATTGTGAAATTTGTAACAAGTGATGCATTGTTTAATAGCCCTTGAGTTTGCAACAATGTCTGGGCAATGAATTGAGGAATTTAAGTATGGAGAAAAAAAACTAAAGGAGATGTGATTTTACCATATCACCAATTCACCATTACATTATTATTCACTATAATCTCAAACAAACAAAATTAGGAAGAGTAGTTAACATAATTTTTTGTAGCCTACAAGTTCTTCCACCCCACCCCCAAAACAAAAAAAAAGGGAAGATTAGGAAAAAACAAAATCCCCCAAAGTCCTAACATTGCTCTAAACACAGATCCATTGTGAAATTTGGCGTCCTACCAAACAAGGAAAATAATATAATCATTCTCCTGGGTCGATTTCATGGAAAGGAAGTGGAACCGTTTTAACCGCTCTGAATTTGCCAGCGTTGTTTAGATGCTCATTTTCCAACCTATTCAAATCATAAACGCCAAAAATTGAGATATGAGCTTAATTCCTCTCACTTCCAACAAAACACAATTACAAAACCGTACTTAATAAAGGCTCGTTGTTTGTAGGGTACGTACGTACCTATAGAAATTCCATTGGCCTCTCCTGATGACTTCCAAGGCAGCTAAAAATAGGCCAGTTACCCTGTAATCTACTCTCCCAAAATTGTAATGTAACACTGTTTGCATCCATGCCAGCCTAAGAATTATATTTAACCCCTGCAAATAATATCCTATCAACGATTACAAGTGTACCCTTTGATATACTCATCAGTACATATATATATATATGTGTGTGTGTGTGTGTGTGTGTGTGTGTGTGTGTGTGTGTGTATGTACACAAACACACACACACATGTATGTATGTATGTATGTATGTACCATGGAGAAGTAGTAAATGAACTTTTGGTGGAGCATAAGTTCATTCCTTAACCAAGGGTTGCGAGAATGGGGTTGGAGCAAACCCCAATCCTTCACAAAGTCCCAATAAAGTTGGTAAACTGTTGCACCACTTGAAATGGCAACAACAAGGCAAAGCCACCCCAAGCCTGTCTCCTTTTCATATGCCACTTTTGCCCCTGCCGCCAACATTGCTGACACGTACTTCCCAAGGTTTACAATGTGGCTTCTGTCCCCTTCGTCCAGCCACCGTCTGGCACACTGCACACATGCACTTTATTAAGTATAAAATCTTTTCTGGACCTAGAGCTACAAACTTGAGTTTTTGATTGAGTTAATTGGTTCTCTGACAATAATTATATTATGTATGTCTCAGTGTACTCTGAGAGCTAGGAAGAACTTAGTGAAGGAGAGAATGTAGGAAACCAAACCTGCATGGCCCGCCAATAGTAAGGAAGAAATGAAACTGCATAAGCCAAGTCTCTATAATACTTGGTTTTCATGCAATATCCATAATCTTGATTTTTGTAGCTTCCTGTTACATAGTAGCATGCCACATACTCAAGCTCTCTCAGCATTGGAATCTGTTTGACAGAAATAAAAATAATGTTTCGAGTGAGAATCTCTGTTCCTATTTTAGTTAGTTGAATGAAGTTACGAAATGAGTTCTCATTACCTGGCTGCAAAGCTGATCAGCCATGAAGAAATCCAGCATGAAAACCTTATACAAAGGTGACAAAATGATGTTCCTCATCACGCGCAGGAATCGGTACCGGCTTGGTTTGTAGATGATGTTGAAAGGACATAGGAGCAGCAATAGAAACCCCTTCATAAGACACAAAAAAACATTATATATACTTTGTTCATTAACTAGTACAACTATAGATTCTCAAAGATATGCCGAGAGATTACGTACCAGTAGAAGAAGGCCGGGGATGGAGTGAACTAGTGTAAATGAATAACCTTTAGACACAAGGGAAAGGTGAAGAAAAAGGACACCAACCACCACGGACATTGAAGTTGTGCAGATCAAGAACACATCTCGATACTTGAGTTCTTGTTTAGGGGATAACTCAAGTATGAAGGAGTAGTTAATCCTGCTCTTTCTCCACATTACAATGTTGCACCCATACATGAACAAGTGCAAGAACAGCAGGCTGAACATGCTGCACCCACAAAGCCAGTTAACACCAGATTTCTCCGCTATGTCAGTACCAAGGGAAAAAATGGAAAGTCTAGCATATTTAATACGAGTATTACATTAAAAAACATGTAAAGTAAAAACGAGAAGAAAATATTGACAGGGGGAGTAATTAGCTTGCCTTAGAACTGGATACACTGTTTCCATGTAGAGTGTGTTCGATTCAGGTTGTCTGTACATCCCAGTAATATGGGCCATGATTAGGTACCCGACTAATAGAGCTATGAAACATCCGGTGAACAAGCCTAAAGAGACATGCACAAGTGGAAAAAGATCTATTAGAAGCATCCTTTAACTGATGAACAAAGTTCCCACCATAAGGGTGCGATGATAGAACAAGCAAGAAAGATCGATCGTATGATCAAATTGATAGAAGCATGCATGTGTATATGAAGAATTGAGCGACAATGGTGGACACTGTTTTGGGATCAAGAGTTTAACTAAAGATAATGCCCCCATAGTTCATTTACATTTGATAATTTAAGATTCTATTATTGAAAAACCAAGAAAAGTTTAAAGCTTGGGTTGTAAGTTGCAGTTGAATATACATAGTAATTCATGATGATTTATTTTTTTTTCAAAATTGGATCTCTAGTTTTTTAGGGGCCCAATGCAGTTGAACAGGTTGGCGGATTGAGGGTCACATCTGATGATGGGTATAGAATGTAGAGCATAGTATATTACGGAGTATATTTTTATTGGCAACTTGATAAAGTGCATGTGTATTTCTGATCTATTGTATGAATGTTTGGATGGAAAAGAAAATGGAAGGAAAGAAAAAGAGGAGAATGAAAACGTAGAGAAAAGAAAATGAAGAGAAAGTGGAAAGAAAATAATGATTGTTTGAATAAGTAGAAAATGAATAGAAAAAGTGAGAAAGAAAGAAAATGTGATAAAATAAAAAGACATTTTTGTCCCTACTTTTTTAAAGAAAGGAGGGTGAAAGATTAGGAGTAAGGACAAAGTTGTAATTTTACACATTTTCTCTCCACCATGTCAATTTTCTTGCCTAAGGATGAGAGAAAACTTTTTACTTCATTTTTCTTTCTTTTTCATTTCCTTTTCCATTACACCCAAACAAGTGAAAAAACATAGGAAGTTGTGTTTTCCACTCTCTCCCTTTCTCTCCAAAATCCTTCCATCCAAACATAGGTTAACAGCAAGAATTAGATAATAACACATTTACATGCACTTTTATTTGTATTTTCTCACATTACATGAATAGGTATATGTATAAAGTGAAAAATGAGCTCAGATGTTACTCTGCAATCAACTCAAGAATAGTTAGCTATGTCCAATGATGTCAGCTACATGACAAAACTTTACTCCACTTTTATATATAGTGGTACACATCAAATGCAAAAGCCTAAAAATGGCTGCCTTTTGTCAACTTTATTGAGATAAGGTCTTACTAGTTTTTTTTTTTGACAGCTTGCATGATTGTGATTATTAGTGGCCTCACCCTGGCCAGGACCTTTCTCTTTTCCTTAATATCTATACTACCTACATTGAACTGGACCTATCCTATATATAGGTCTTCCCCTTTTTCATCAGATTTTCATTCTAGTGGCTGGTTCAAGATCTACTTCCATTAATGTCCTACTATCTAGGGGCCCTTTTTTCCCTTTAGAGAAAAACAATCAAAACATTGTTATTGCAATTAAGTGAACTGACTCTCAAGAGGACAAATACAGAGTAGCTATTAAAAAAAACATCTTTTTTTTGGGAATTTTTTTTATTGGCTCACCAATAAAGAAGGTAACAACATGAGAATCTTTTTTGAGAGTAGGCTTAAGGTATTTCATGGCCTTTCTTCTATCATTGTCAGCAAACTGTTTAATGAAAATCTCCTCAACCTCATCAGCCAACCTTAGAATCTGCAAAGAAAAATGGAGAATGCATGTGAAAAAAAATCATATCTTTGTTTGATCAAATGTCATATGCCCATTGCCAATGCAGCTAAAATAGTCCTATTTGGCAATGTTTTAACTTTGTGTAAATAATGGACTAAATCAAAATGACACATTAAATTTCTTTTGCTTCTTACTTTTAATGAAGTTTTGGGTCGTAAATGCAGCAACACATCAAGGGTTTGACAAAAGAATTTCTCTATAATTTACAAGGGTAAGGCTACATATATCTTGACCCCAGACTCCAACAAAGTTGGGATATGTTATATTGGGTTATTGTTGTTGTTGTTGTTGGTTGATCAAATGTACGGTCTAAAAATCTTCACCAATGCCCCTCTTCAATCATATACATTTTGATGATTTAGAAAATAAAAAATTTTTTTGAAACCTTGTCTGAGCTGTTGAAGTAGGTGCTTTCAACCACTCTAATATAAATGGGTAGGACTTGTTTGTTAGTAACCTGCATGCAGTGTGAAAAAAAAAGAAGCAGTGACTAAAAGCAAGAGGAAAAAGTGATGATAAAGTTAAAGCCCTATTGATACAACAAAACAAATGCTTTACACTTGAAAAGCTATACCCTTTCCCACCCCACTTACTTTGTCAAATTTCTTCAAAATCTTTACAAAAGCAAGCATGTTCAGGTTCCTGTAAAGAAGCTGTAAATTTCAGTCATTAAAAATTAAAGAAAAAAAAAGATGAAAAATCAATCTTTTAAGACTCAGGTTAAAATATCAATACTTGTCAATTGGTTTTTGAGATTATATCTCACAATTCAACATTGTATCAGAGAAGTTCATATCAATTCGAGCAAGGAATAACTTGAGGCCAAAAAAAAACCCAAATTGCACTTAAGGGATGTTGAGTTATGAAAACTCACAATTCAACAATATACAATGAAGTATACAAATGTAGGATTGAATGATTACCTATAAGTCTTGAGATATCCCAGTCCTTTGTAGAGCTCAATGAATGCGCCGCGTATCATCTTCTCGGCCTGACGAAGCTTGGCCTTATTAATGTGAAACCCTTTCTTGTTACCCCGATGATGATGATCATCTTCTTGCATCAGATATGTGATTGCAGAAAAGGCGCGGCTCGGATTAGTCATGGGAATGTGGATTCTTAAGCTCTTTCTGCCTTGATGACAGTTATTATTAGTCCCGATGACATTTTCTGGCAGCGAAGAGAAAGAAGAAGAAGAAGATAATGATCTCAGCTTGGTTTCTTCCACTGTTTTGGCCACTGTCATTGATCTTCCCAGTTCTTCATCTGGTGGTCTGCTGGATTGGTCTGTGTCACCACCACCAACTCCTTGCTCCTGTTCTTCCTCTCTTCTTCTGCTCCTGCTACTGGATTCCTCATCTGTTTATCAAGCAGACTTTGTCAGTTGTTAGGGTTTCAAATTTCTTGTTACCTAAACTAGGCAACGGATCAAAATCCTGCAATCTATGGTGGATTTAGGTGAGTGTTAGTGGATTTATGTGAAACGAAATTTGAAATCTCGTTTGAAATCTAAAAAATAGAATTCTTATTTTGGTTTTTGTCGTATATTTTATTTTTATTTTAATCTTTTTCCTTATAAAATTCAATGAAAGTGCTTAGAAGGATTTGAAATATGTGGGTTGACAACGGGTGGCTTATGGTGGTGGGTGGCGGACGATTGAAAAGATATCAAAACTCTGGATTGTTTTTACCAAATTTGGGATAAATAAAACACTCACATTTGGGAAGGTTGTGATATCTTGAGCGAAAACTCCCTAAATAGGAGTATATGAATACGAAATATAGAGTATGAAAATATGAACCTTTGTATGTATTTCAATATGTATTTCAATAGGAGTCCACATTTTCAAGTGTAGCCACTTAACACACTCTATATGTCGACACCACGCTCACATCTATCGTTGTCACACTGTCATATACAATCCGTCGTTGTGGGCCACTGGCTCACCGCAACCAGTCGCCAGTGTTGACCACCGTTATTGTAGTTGGCTGATCACTTTTTTTATTTATTTTTATTATTCTATTCACTTGTATTAGTGTTAAGTTTACTCATATGCAGTATAATTTTTTAATTTAGAGATATCAAATCGGAATCCTAAGTTTCACTATTCATTGGACACTTACAAAAAAAATTGTGATATCGAAAGATATCAGAATTTATATATATTACACTAATCAGCTTAATTAGTCCAAGATTGAGTTTATTACACCATGCATGTATTTTGATAAATGTGCATCGTTACCCTCTATGATTTTTAAAGCTTACGTCGTTGTCTCTCCTGATATTGTTACGTCACTGTCATTCTAAACTAAAATATTCTTCAAATATTATTTGAATAGCTCCACTAACCCCTATAGTTCTGGAAATTGGCACAAATGCCCCTCTTTATTACGGAGTATTTTTTTTTCTACTATTTTTTTCATAAATGTTTTTAAATCTTTTTTAACATTATTTTTTAAAATGTTTTAATAATCAACTTTTTTTGTGTGTGCAATAAAAATTTCAACGTACACTTCATTTGTCTCGAATTAAAGACTTTCTTTTTAGTCCAAAAGATGTCTTTCTTGGTTTATTTTCATGCTACAAAAATCAACGAAATATTCTCTTTTTCACTAAAGCTCATTTTTCGTCTATTAATTTCATACCCTTTCTTTTATTTTAATCCAAATTAAAATAAAAAAAAGAATTGAAAAGAAAATAGAGAAAAAAAAGTACTCCCTCCGTCCCATGAAACATAGGACATTTGTTTTTTAGGAGGGATTTAAGTGAGTGTATTTTGGTATTGAATTTCCAAAAATGTCCTTTGATGTGATGAGTAAAAGTATGATTTGATGGATAGATTATTAGTAAAAAGGTATGATGTGATAGTTAGGGTATGAAAAAGTAAGGGGTAAAAGTGACTTTTTAATAGAAATGAGAAGTGTTTTGTGGGACGGATAAAAAAAGAAACGGGAAATGTTTCATGGGACGGAGAGAGTATATAAAAAAATACTTTTATAGAATAGTAAAAATTAAATCATCAAGGAGTAACCACCAATAAACAACTTTATAAAGGTAGCATAACATGTTATTTTGAGAACCAAAAAAAACAGAGTAAGAAACAGTAGTGTACCGCAAGAGAAGGCGCGGACGGAAACGGAGTGATCATCCTCCCGATATGAATCGCCGATCCCCTTCTCCCGGCGGGGGCGGTGGCGGAGAGCGGCCTTGAGCTGAAGCAGGATCTCCAATTGCTTCTTCAGCGACTCTCCCCTGTCGGCGAACTCCTTCTCCTTGGCTCTGTAAAACTGGTTCACCTTGCTCACCTGCTCATCCAGCCGCCGGAAGAACTCCTTCGCCCCTTCGTTCTCCGCCAATTGCTCCCCCAATTCCGTCTCGTACAAATCCCCTTTGCTCCCACTTGATGAAAGCTTCTTGTGCACCTTTTGAATTAATAATAATAAGCATGGAAAATTTAATAACCTATTTTGTTATCAATTATAGTTAATTTTAGAAAAAATTATCTTACTAAAATATATCTGGGTAATAACTTTCTCCATTTAATACTATATGTTTTTATTTTCCAATGTATACCGCTGGCCATTGTTCAAGTAAATATCCACCGCCACAGAACATTGTTTAAACTAAATGTCCACCATCACTGGACATTATTTCCGCAACTAGATATTATTTGGGTTCTAAAAGAATAAAAAAGGTTAAGTACTACATTGGGAAATAACATATGTTTTAGTATTATTTAGTGTAAATTTCACTTAATTCTATTTCATAATGAAGCGAGTTCATGCAAATTAGGCAAGACTGGTCCCAAAGATTCAAGAACCCTGAACGAGATGAAAAAGTTAGATCTCCAATTCTAACAAATTAAATTATATAAACTATTTGTTTAGAACAAAAAGTAAAATCACTATTTTTTTAAAAAGAGTGTTAGTACTGTTTGATATAAAAAACTCAAAATATGAAAAGTTTTTCAAGAGTGTATGTCTTCATGCAAAAGAAGGCAATGTAGGAAAATCAAGATGGTCAAATTAAGGAGTATTCAAGAAACCGATTTAACCAAAAACATTAACAATTTTACGATTTCATGTCAATGAACTAATTCAACCAAAAGCTTACGTTAATGCTTAAAATAGCACGAAAGATTTTATATATATATATATATATATATATATATATATATATATATATATATATATATATATATACTTCATGCGGGACTTTCTATATACCTGAATCGCTCCGCGTTTGGGACAACGAGACCTGAACACGAAGAGTTTCTTCAAAGAACAAAACGGGTTCGGAAAGGCTCGTTGTCGTTCTTCTTCGTTTTCATGGGTATGGAGGAGAAGATGGAGCTTCTTGAGGTCCTTCTTGAGTTGGTAGTAATCAACAAAAGCTTCCTTCCATTCTGGAACAAGTTGGGCTTCAAACTGCTTAGAGAATTTCACCATTTTTTTCTTCTAAATTTACTCAGTTTAATTAATATAATTATTACTTATAGTTGCATGGGAACAAAGAAGCCAATAATTAAGTTAGAGGCCACTTTGTTAGTCTTCAAGTGTTTGGAATGAAGGGGTTTATATATGGACAATTGGACGTGCAAGTTACACTATTTATGGGTTGAAAAAGGAATTTTTGAATAATTTCGTTGCATTAGATTCTCAAAAAGCAGGCACATTCTGTAATATTCTTGTAGCAGCCCCTATATTTATCCTAAATCCTAAATGTGCCCTTTCAAGTTATAGCCTATAGCCTATAGGTACATTTTGATGAATTATATTCTCCAGCAGCTAACATGAAAGATTTTATCCTGCCCGCATGGGCAGCTCAGTTGGTCAAGAGCGTGAAATCTTGGACCGATGACCAGGGATCGAGTCCCGCAAGCGGCAGTGTGGGAGCTATCCAAAAATCCCATAAAGGAGGCTCCTTGTGCGCGGTGGGCACGGGTCTAGCGTTCTTAGCCGACTGAGTCACCATGATTTACTTCCTCCACCATTCCTGTCGGGCAAGGGGGTGGGGGCGCCTGGGGTGGGCGATTCCACCTTTTTGGACCGATGAAAGATTTTATCCTTTAACACGCACAAGCTACGAAAAATCTATTTTTGCTAGAATCTTGTATGTGAATAGTACTTTTTCAAAATTAAGTACAGGTAATATTTGAACTCCTGCCCTGTATCAATAGTTCTCTGATATCGCGTTAAGAAAATCAACTCAATTTAAAGCTGGAGTTTGTGATTGTAGGTAGGATACGTTCCGGAAACAGGTAAGAATATACTCCGTAGTAGCTAGTTTCTGAAAACGAAACATTTTAGTTGCATAAAATAAAATTTTTGTTACACGTTCATTCTCACAAATAAAATGAACTAGGTTCTGGAAAAAACTAAAAAATTAGAGATAGATTATTTATAAATTAGTGTCCATTTTTCTTGGGGAAAAAAAGAAAGAAAAGATACGAGTAGAAATTAAGTTAGGTAGTGTGATATGTAATGGGATAATGCAAATATGCTATGGAATAATAATAATATGTACACATTTATGGGGATCGGATGACATAACGTTGGGGAGATAAGGTCATCAGGTGAGGGGTGAATATGTGCTACATTTTGTCCATGCTTTCGGTATATATTTTGTACCATAGTATATAATAATATACTCCTTCCTTCCGTTCTACAAAATATTTCTTATTTTGATTTTTAAGGAATTTAGTGTATTTTGGTATTAACTTTCCAAAATTGTCTTCGGATATGATAAGTAGATTAATAGTGAAAAATGAGATGTATGTAATAGGTGGGTTAAGAATTTGTAGGGATAAACGTGTTTTTTTAATTGTAATGAGAAAAAAAAATGTTGGTACGGATGAAAAAGAAAGGAGAAAGATTTTTTAGGACAGATGGAATAAATACGGGGTATATGGTTAGACGTACTGGAAGTTTCGTTTTTTTTAAACACATACTCTTAGGGTTAATCACATTATTTGATATTCTAATTACTAACTAGAAGTAGTAGATTATTGGACGTGTAACTTTTCTGAATTTTATTTTAAATGCACGTAAACGAATTTAAAGAAATTACGTATCTAGTTTTCATGCATAACATGCGTTTTTATGTTATATGGAGTAAATCGTGATCTTATGATAACTATTTCTTGGTATATATGCATATTTAGAGCATCTCCAACCATGCTTGTTATATAAATTTGCTATTTTTACATTATAGCAAGTGAATAGTGATATAACAAACACTTTTTTGTTTCATTCTCCAACCATAATTTGTTATTTTATTTTTTAAGCATTGGCCGGCTTGCTAAAGTTTGAGGGGTTTGTCATATTTAGCAAGCCAAAGTCATTTTTTAGCAAACTTGCTAAAATAAAGCACACCCCTTGGAGAAGAACAAAAGTGTAAAGCTAGCTATATTTTAACTTTTAGCAAGTTAAAATGTTATGGTTGGAGATGCTCTTACTCAGTTAAAATATACCAAGTACTAATTTATTTATACATTTACTTTTTACATATATTTAATTTAGAGTAAGTTCCATAATTAGTCCTTTATAATAGGGGGTTTCCCTATTTAGTCCTCTATTATCAAATATTACTCCAGCGATCCTTCTTTTATGGGTATCTTTCCACAAATAGTCCTTTTTTGATCTTCTATCATGTTGATGTTAATTTGAGGGTTAAAAGTGTAATTTCACAATGATAATATATGTTTTTTGTCATATACAATTCCAAAGGTTGTTCCGTTTGCGTCGTTTGTGAATTACATTCGCTTTCTACTACAACAATAGTCTACAAATGTGGTCTTCCGTCGGAATCCTAGCCCATAATCATTATCATCATTTTTGTGTTATCCGCTTAACCAATATCAGAACACGTCACTAGACATAATGTTGATGTCAAATTATGCTTTTAGCCTTTAAATTAACACCCATATGGCGGAAGATAAAAAAGGATCATTTGTGGAAAGGCACCCTCAAAAAAGGACTAAGAGGGTAATATTTAATAATAGAGGATTAAATATGGAAACTCCCATGTTATAAAGGACCAATTATGGAATTTATTCTTTAATTTAGAACATGGATACGACTTGTATAAAATTGAATACTCCGTATTCAAGTGAATACAACTGGGCTAAAGACTAACGGGCCGCTAGGAATGAACGTCTAGACGGACACCTTGACAAACGAGGTGGGCTAAAACTGTCTCTGATACCATGATAGAATTTAAGATGGGGAATGGATTACTGGATTGGGTAATAAGACACTTGAGTTGAACCGTGTTAAAAGATTGAATCCAATCGATTAGTTAGTTCAACTCTAGAGCTTATATATCGATTATTTTACTCATAGATTTTTGATGTGGGATGTACTCTAACAATATATACACATTATAATGTCCATTTGGAAGTAATGTTTACCTTTTAAAAACGTGCTACCCGTAAATATTTCTAGGAGTGCAAATTAAAATTAGTCTTATAAAATTGGAAATGACTTATGTTTTAGTCTTATTCAGGGCAAATTTCAATTAAAATTAATGTTAACAGGGCATTATGCATTAATAATGGAGATATTAAACACACACACAAATGAACTGGCGCGGTGGACCGTACGTCGCATGGACGGTCGCCGCATTTTTGTGCCGGAAATGAAGACCGGCTCTGTGCCGGAACTGGGGCGCGTGCCGCGGCGGAAAACGGCGGATGACTGCAAATGCCCTAAACTCCCTCACAACCAGTTGCATTATTACACATATATGGATTAATGATTAATTGTAAATTTGTAATGGATGGAGATATAAAATTAAACATAAATATAATTAAGACGAAATTTGTCATTTAAAGAAAAAGCTAAGGTTCATTGTATTATTGGGTGATTATTAGATGACCATTTATTTGGTGAATCCTGCCTTTGCTAAGAGGGTGTTTCTTTGTAGACATTTTTTCCCCACTTTATTTGTTGTGTTTTAAAAGTGGAGGTCCAATTATTAATATACATCCTCCCTCGCAATTTTGATTATAATTTTTATATCTCATCTCGATAATTTTTATTTATTTCTAGCTATGTTTTCATTGATTATTTGATGAAATAAAATATTCTTGTCACTTGTTTTATATAAATTCTTGACATTATTCTTTAATGTGTAATTTTTATTTTTTATCAATATATCAATTTGTAATTAAAATGATTTCTAAAGATGTTAGATATTAACTTGTAAGTCTTAATTTGCAATCAAATTTAGGGGGAAAGAAGTACTATTGTTGAGTAATTTATTTATGAAAAAAGAAGAAGAAGAGAGGCAGTAATTAAATTAAAGGAGATCCAATCAGGGCTTTGTAGGAAGAGCCTAGCTAGTTAGGACAAGCAAAAACACCAATCATGGTTTGATGACTCGGATGTCATATGTATTCTTTTGATGCTTTAATTGAACAATGTTACATCTACGAAGTTATTTTATTTTATTTACAATTGATACATCAGAAAAAAAATACATATTAGAAAATTACGTTTAAAGTTCTATAAAATAAGAAGTGACAAAACAATTTTATTTTATCAAATAATTTTTGAAAACACAGAATCAAATAAACAAAAATCATCGAGAAAGAGAAAATAAAATTATACAGAGTAATAAAAATGGGGACAGAGATAGTACTCACAAAGTTTACAAACTTATCATTTATAGTTAAATTTTCATATTAAAATTATTTTAGATTACTCTAATTTTCTTTATTAAAGTTCACAAATAGTATGTTTGTGATATTTGAGAATATTTTGTTTGTGAACCAAACATTTCTCACTTTAATGTGTTCCTGATGGGTGTAACCCAATCTAAATCTGGGATCACAACAGTTGACCAGTCAGACGCAAGTATATCACAATGGAAGATTTAAACGAAAATATGGACGACTGGTCAGATTCTTGAAGATGACCAGTACGATGTGTAGACTTATCGGTCAGAGTACATGACTTAATGTTGGCGGTCTTTTGTCTCTTCAGAACGCATGACCGGGTAGGTTGCTATGATGTGAAAGTGTCGGCACGAATAGTTCCAAAGGTGGTTGGACGGTAGCGACCGAGTTCAACGAAAGATTGCGGGAACATTCCAATATCCACTCATCTATATGCACTACACGCCAAAGAAGGTGTTAAAAGAAGCTAAGAATGGTTATGATCGACCTTGTTTGGGAACACCGTTAACATTTTGATATTATTGTAGTGGTATAGATTTACTTTGAAAACGCTACATTGTAAAGGGGTTGTGACTTGATACAAGATTACAAGTTAGCTTTCTTTAGACTATCTATAGTTCAATATATAACTTAGCTAGCCACTCCATCCGCTAGTATATTCATTCATGGATGATGATTTACCTCTGACTTGGAAGGTCGGCCTGATCTTTTTTATGTTGTTTTGGAAACCAATAATTTCAGATGAAGCTGATGATTTGTTATATTTGAAGATATAAAATTCGAATTATTTTTATATGGCATCAAGCCAAAAAAAATCGAATATTAAAAGATATGGACTACGCTCCCCACACACGCCCTTAATGCTAAGTATTTCGTTGTTTATGTGACCTACATGTGTCATTCAATATCACACCCCATGTACATTTCAATTGTAGTTTCAATGTCATTTGCAATGAGAAGTCAAATCTCTCTACCGAAGGGGCAAAAGGTACGAGTGACGATTAAGAAACCATAAATTTATCACGATAATTTTCATTTTAAGTTGAACGAGTGTGTTCATTATTTATATTATCAAACATTAATCACATTTCTTATTCATTTTTACTATCCATTTGACTAAATGAGTATATTCCTTAGTATTATCGCATCTTCTTTTGTAGATGCTTTGATTTTTAAATATATAAATTTTATTTTTTTAGTTCAACACCATATTTCAAAGATATTGAATTGAAAATAATTTCGGTCAAATCTCGTAAACAAGAGACGATCTAAATTGTGAGGGAAAGAGTACTACGTGCAAGTTGCAAATTAATAGGAAGAGAAAAGCAAAGAATGCCCTTATAACAAACTTTTAGCATTCTAAAAAACTATCCAACAATAATGTTTAGTTTTAACACTTTCAAAGTTACTTTATACCATTATAAATGCTAGCGATAATTGCAAATAAACAGACAAAAATATCACAAACGAATCAAATCAATCATAGGTGCCCTCATCATCATTGGCATCATCGTCCATGTTGAAGTCGTCTTCATCATCATCAAAATCCTCATTCTTCATGTAGTCATCATCCTCGTCAAAGGAGTCCTCGTCTTCTTCAGCATTCTCTTCTCCATCTTCTTCTTCGTCGTCCTCATCATCTTCGCTGCCATTCTTCTTCCCATCTTCGCCGTCGGAGTCCCGCTCAAACCTCTCAAAGTCCAGGTCTTGCAAGTCTGCATCTTGACTCCACCGAACTCTCTTCTTCGCGCGGCGTATCATCATTGTTCTGCGCTTGGCCGTTTCAGCAGGGTACAGTGCAGCAGAAATGGTGATGAAATCCGAGAGTTCGGATTTCTCTCTGGATCGGTTGGAATCCATGTCCGAAAACCGTTCTATGTCCGCAATTTTTGTCTCATTTGGGCCGCCGCCGGTTTCGTCGCGGATATAGTAAGGAGAGGATCTGAAATGCTTCAGTATCTTTGGATATGCCCTTGCTGCATATTCCTGATCTGGGAAAACCATTGTTTCCTTGCCCAAGGTCTCATCATCGATTGCTGGGAATAGCTCAAATGGTTCTTCCTTTGCTCTCTTGAAGCCACCACCATATCCTCCGCGCCCTCGTCCCCTCCCTCTAAATGCCATTTTGAGTTGGAAACAGATAAGCCCTTCACAGGATGATTCAAATTAAACTCTCCAATGCTCTGTTTTCAGATTTCCTGTCAACAAGAAATATTACAACAATGCACCGATAATACGAGTGAAAATTCAGATACTGCATACATATTCCATGAAACAGCAAGCTAGCTCTAATAACAGCGTTAAGAGGCATAATCACCAATTATAATTCTTCTCACTTATAAATTTCTGATATGAAGTATGGTATAGCATCACATATACTTGTTTTTATTGATATAATTGCACCATAACACAACCATACTATAATTGTCACCATTTGCCAACAAAATGAAAAACAAAATAAAATCACAGTTTAGTTTTTATGATGACACTGACCACTGATGCAGTAAGCCAGTAACCACTGAGGTATGAAAGAAAGTATCCACTGAGCAGGAGATGAAAACCTAATTAAGAGAATGTATGTGAGTGCGGTGAATTCTTGAAAAAGCAATAGTGCTAAATCAGAAGCAGAAAGCACTTACTCCGAGCTTTGGTGAAAAGCACTTCTACATTACACTTTTGAATTCAAAACCTATAATCTAAAGCTGATATGCAAATACTTAGAATTGTGTTTCAATGAAGTAGAAGCTCAAAAGCACTTTTCAAATCATGGTTATCAAGTCGACAAGTCGAGTCGGTGTGGTGACTAGGAATAAGAAAAAATCTATTCCGTATGTATATTGTGTATGTGTATCATATGCAAAATCAACACTTTGCAATAGATTACCCACAATTTGTTCCCCTTTCAAATATCTATATACTCCGTAATCAACAGACTTTGAGCATAATTTAAAAAAAAAGATTTATACCTGCTGCTCAAAACCAATTTTCAGGTCCAATACCATCTACCATTGGGAATCTAACAGCACTGGTTTATTTAGTAATCCCTGTCAACAAGTTAACCGGAGAGATTCCATCATCCATTTGCAACTTGAGATACCTTCTTGTTCTCCACTTATCAAATAATAGTTTGGAAAGAGAAACTTGAGCACATCTTTATCCATCTTCCATATGGGTGCAAATCAAATCAGTGGTCTCATTCCATCAACATTATTTCCCAAGGGATGTAGAATTCAGCCCATTAATCTGAATGGTAATAAATTGGAAGGAACAATGCCTCAATCACTACTCAACTACCAAAGCCTGCAAGATATCGACATAGGTGATAATGAAATACGAGGCCTGTTTCCCTTCTGGATGGAAACACTCCCTCAACTTTGTGTCATCGTCTTGAGGTCCAATAACTTCAATGGTACGATGATGTCAGTGGCTCCAAACACTGAGCATCCATTCCCCAAGTTGCAAGTCTTAGATATATCAAGAAATGCATTTGTCGGTTCTTTACCCGAAGTGTTTTTCAACAACTTTCGAGGCATGATTGACGCGGAGGAAAATAAGACAGTTGATGGAACAGATTGGTTTAAAAAATTTACAGAGTTGAGGTTCATTTTGAAAGGTTTGGATCAGTCACTGCAGAGACTGCTGGATACCTTTACAACAATTGACTTCTCATCCAATAGGTTTTCTGGGAGTATTCCACATTCCATAGGAAATCTTAATTCTCTAAGATACTTGAACTTGTCTCACAACACCCTCACCGGAAATATACCTTCCTCTCTTGAAAATATGAGTGAACTTGAATCGCTGGACTTGTCAGCAAACAAACTGGACGGACAAATTCCGAGTGAATTGACAAGGTTGACATTTCTTTAGAAATTACACCTTTCGGCAAACAATCTTATGGGGCAAATACCACAACCTACTCAGTTCTCAACAGTCAAGAACTATTCCTATATGGGAAATACTGGATTGTGTGGAGCTCAGTTCTCAACCTACTATCAGACGTAATTGATAGCAATATTTTTTTTTGTTGGGTACAAAAGAGAGAAAAAATAGTTGAAGAATCTTATCTTCTTCCTCCAGCAAAATAATTTTAAGATGAAATTGATAGAGTATGCTATCAAGAATCCATTAAAAAACTATCTGCAACTCAATTGATAGAGTTATTAAGAATCCTTTACAAAACCCTAGCACAACTATGGAGAATTGCCCAACTATCTGATGTATCAGTGATTATTTATCAAGCATCTAATTTGCAATTTGACGCCATTTACAAAGCCTTATGCAATTCGATTTCTTCAGTTCATAGTTCTTATATCTTAATGAAATAGGGAGTAATAAAAAAAACGAATTAGGAGCGGAGGTTTTACAGCTGAAGATTTTGTTTACCGTAAGTGAATTGGGGAGGACGACGACTTCTGGTGAAGCAGGCTCTCCAAATCTTCTCAGATCGATGACGACTTCTGCAAACAAATTGAGAGGGAAACAAATTATATGTACTCCCTCCGTCCCACTCTTTTTGTCCACTTTCATTTTTGCACACCATCCAATGCACTTCTTTAATCTATTTTATCTTGTAATTTATATATTAAAAAATTATAAAAATTATATATTAATAATCTATATGTTAAGACAAATCAAACAAGATCACACATGACTATTTTTAGACTTACACATTGAGAGAATTTGATGAGTCAAAGTGCTTAGATGAACAGTTCCAAAAGTCAAAACTGGACAAAAAGAGTGGGACGGAGGTAGTACTTTTTTAGATTTAGTCTTCATATTTTATAAACTGTCCTCAATTTTTAAATACTACCAAGTATTTCACAAGTAATTCTTTTCATCACAAAATATTTTAATGTTTTTCTCAAAGCAATCTTTAATAAAAAATTACTAACTTGATCTTTTATAATTGAGATGTGTTTTCTAAATAGTCTTTTATAGAAAAATCTCTATTAAATGACAGTTAATAGAGGGTATTTTAATGCTTTTTGTCGTCTAAATTATAACTAAGTCTTCAAAATGATTTTTTTCAAAAAATATTTACTTAAAGTTATCAATTTATAAAAATATTTAATTATAGAGAAGTATTTCGAGAACATACTTAAGCCTAGATGATAGAAAATATCAAAATACCTTTCAATTGACTAACATTTAATACACATTTTAGGCAAAAAATAATTTAGAGAATAAATCTAAATTTTATAGGATCACGTTGGTAATTACGGAGTATTGTTTATTAGTAGTCACCCAATTAATTTAAAAAATCATTATAAGGACTTATTCATTGTTTAGATAATAAAAAGCATCAAAATATAATCCATTTAATTCTAATTTAATAGGCATTTTTGGTAAATGGCTATTTAGGAAATACATTTTGAAAAAAACCTTATTAGCAAGGACCATTTTGAGAATATACTCAAAATATTTTGTCATATTTGTGAAAAGGACTATTTATAAAATAGTTTTCAAAAATTGAGAACTGTTTATAAAATATCTTATAACTAAATATAAAAAACTACATATAATTGGAGATTATTTTATGAAATTTTACTCAATATTTAACGTAATACCACTTTTTTTGTATACCTAATTGGCGATTATTTATTGTATACAAATTCAATCCCGTCACATTATCCGTTATAAATTTGGAACGTATGGAGAATATGTAAGGAGTGGATCGTGCATTTTAATGTACATATTATACATCAAAATAAGTATTGTAATTCACATGTGCAAAACTAATCCTCATAGTTTGACTTTTTACGTAGTTTAAAAAAGTAAAATTGTGTGGTTTAAAATGATACACAGAAAAGGAAAAAAATTGATAATTCACGGTCACGTACAACTCTTCTTAATTAACCTAGCAAAGGTTTGTGTTCGAGGCCGAGTTTTGAAAAATTGGTGTAGTATTTACTCTCTCCCTTCTAAAACGTGTTTCCCAATTATTATTCACGCGGTCAAATTTTAATCACTTTTTTTATCTAATTTTGTTAGTTATTTGATAAAATGAAATAATTTTGTTTCATCTTATTTTGTAGAACTTTTTATGTAGTTTTTAAATATATAAATTTTATTTTTTTTAATTTTACTCTTACAATAAAATAAATTTAATTGAAAATAAAATCAGTCAAACCTCATCCGGAAAGAACCTTGTAGGACGAGAGAGTATTTTCTTTAGAAATCACCTTAAATAGGACGAAAACATAGAGAAAAGTACCAAAATAGGACTTTCATGTTTTTTTCCCGAAATAGGACTTTGCATTGTGGTAATGTAACTTTGCCATGTTGTAATGTGGCCATGTACATGTGCAAATTACTATACTTTTTGGTAATGTATATGACAATGTATGGTAATGTAAGTCCTGTTTCGAAAATAAAAACATAGAAGTTCTATTTTGGTATATTTTCAATGTTTTATTCCTACTTTGGTCTTTCTCCCTATTTTCTTGCATATTCCATAATTTTGTTAAGTTCCCTTATTTTGACAAGGCAAAGTGTATTTATTTATTTATTTAAATTTTAAACTCATATATTTACATATCATGTGTACATGTCATTAATTATTATGTGAACATTTCTGCAAACAAAAATATAGATGATGATGCATATGACGTGAAGATAGGAGTTTCCTTATTACATACTAACATTATCATTATAATTATTTAAGTTTCTTTGCATTCAACTAGGAATAGGAATTAGATATTTAATTCCCCATTAATTAATTAATTAACCAGTATTTCTCATGCCGGCGGCAATCCCGTTGATGGTGATAAGCAAAGCGTCTCTAAGCTTGTGGTTATCGGCGTCCCGCCGCAACCTCTTCAGTATCTCCACCTGCAAAATATTCATTGGGTTCAAGTACGGAAGCCTGCTCTCCATCAACCTCCTCAGGCTCCGGTTGTTCTCCGACAGCTTCCCGTGCCCCGTCACCAAGAGCACGTACTCCTCCGCCGCCAGAAGCTCTCCCCGGAGCTCCGCCCCGAGCTCCCGCCTCCCCGGCGACACCAACACCTCGTCGTAGTGCTTCGCGATGGGGACGTCCGCTTTCCCGAGAACCATCTCGATCAGGTCGACCGTCGACTGGAAGAACGGCCACTCTTTGTACATCTCGCGCAACTCCTCCGCGTGCCCTTTGACGCAAACGCCCCTGAGCCCCGCCCCGACGCCGAGCCACGAGGGGAGGACGAACCTCGTCTGGGTCCACGCAAAGATCCACGGGATCGCGCGGAGGTGGCCGATCCCCGCCGTGTTCTTATTCCTCCTCGCGGGCCGGCTCCCGATGTTGAGGTGCCCGAGCTCGGCTTGAGGGGTTGCTTCGTGGAAGTACGCGAGGAACTCCGGGTTCTCGTACACGGTGCTTCGGTAGTTGTCGCAACTCGTGTTTGAGATCTCTTCCATTAGGTTACGCCATTTCGGTTCGCGCGGGGGTTGGGGCGGGCGCAGGGTGGCTAGGAGTACGGCCGTCGTATAGATCTCCAGCTGCCTCACCGCAACCTGGGGTAGTCCGAATTTCGCCTGGACCATTTCTCCTTGTTCCGTTGACCGGACCGTACCCTAGACAAATTTCACCATGGATTTTTAAAGAAACCAATTCAACCAAAAGCTCAAACTTGGGGTGCTGAACAGGGAACTGACCATAACAGAACCGGGTGGTTGGGATTGAATGGCGAGGTAGGTGGGACCACCGCCCCGGCCAATGCTTCCTCCGCGACCATGGAAGAGAGTGACCTTGATGCCATACTCATTGCACGCGGCAACGACATCTTCTTGGGCTTTATAAAGCTCCCATGCGGCGGTAAAACGACCCGCGTCTTTCCCGGAGTCAGAATACCCGACCATCACCTACACACACACACACATTATTCTTTGAGGTGAGTTTTGAGGATATAGTCCCACATCAAACACAAGCTAAAAAAGACTACATATGATATAAGAATATGGTACAAGCATTTTGAGGTGGTACCTCTTGATGTCCATTATGGTTCTTTACGATGTGGTCGCGGTACCAGTCTATTGACAGTAATTTTCTGATTACCGAACCAGCTCCTCTCAAATCCTTCACGGTTTCAAACAGTGGAACCACCCGAAGTCTATTCATTTGTTCAAACAAAACGAAAAAAACAGTACATAACTGAAAAAATTTGATGTGCATCAAGTAAACAGGCCGGATATCTACTATTTGGTCTTACGTAGTCCCAGGACACGGTTTGCCGAGTTCCCCGGCAACAGCAAGGCGAGCATCCTTCTGTAAGAGCTCCACAGCAAGAACATCACTGGCCTGTCAATGCCCAACAAATGCACTCATACTTAAGTCTTTTTCTTGACGCGACAAAGGAGAAAACAAATGATAATATGCATATGCATGTTTGACCTATGTATATTATATATCTCCCAAAAATATAGTCGACGTTTTAGAATTTTATGCACATAGTTAGAGAATGATAAAAAGAATCAACAAAAAACAATGGAAGAATGATTGCACATACATGTGAGGCCATTGAGATAACGTAAGCACCAAGAGAATCACTCCCTAGTTCAGCGGCTACTCTAAACGTGTCCAAAACCTCCTTAACGTCCGAAGAAACCTTTATACGAACAAAAATGAGATAGTGTTTAACAAACAAAGATTAGAACATCGAGATTTGAGATGGGAGCAATGGGGTACTAAAAAATGTGAATAATAATGTCAAAATAAGGGAACAAGATGTGACGACCTCTATGGTTAAAGGTACTAAAGGCCTCTTCCCTTTTAGTTCCTTTGTCAAAAATTCAAGTTTACGGTCCTCGTCCCACTCGCTGTATGACCCCATGTCTAGGTATGTGGTTATTGCATCAAGTGTTTCTGAGTGCCTGCAAGATTCCTGCATCCACACACACACACACACACACATAAATGAGTGAGTGCATGTATTACTCCAGTGGGAAATGACACTTTTGGCCCATCGAGTTTAGGTATCGAGGAGATAGTTTATTTAGTCCCTCAATGATCATGTCAAATACATGGATTAGTTGAATACCTGACGGAGGTCGAGCTTCATTAGCACCATACCAAATGTAGCAACTCGCCTGATCAAGTCGGCAAGCCTACCTTCAGCTAGAACCCCAGATCCACAAGATTGCTGCAGAAAAATGGGGTTTCATATTGATTGTTCCTTCTTTTTCTATTTGTAAATCGCAGAATAAGACATTTCAAATTCGACTACAATAATGATGCACGGGCTTTACCAGTGATTCATAGCACAAAATTAGTGGTTCAAGAAGCTGATCAGATGTTTCATAATGATCTGAAGGATCATGGTCACAAGGAAGATCCTCAAGTAGTAGTTCGAGTCTCCTCCTTGTCTTCAGAAGCTGGTGAACAATAAGAAATCCAGTAAAGCACAAGGGCGAAAGCTACTTATTCAGGTGATGGCAGAATAATCAACCAAATGAAATCCATTATTATTATTAATTATTATTATTATTATTATTATTATTATTATTATTATTATTATTATTATTTGTAAATGAATAAGGACTTAGGGAGAAGGGACTACCTTTTCTTTAACATCCCCAAGAACTATACGGTAAGGGGCTATTCCTGGACTCTGAGATGAGCTTGGTTCTAGGAGCTTCTGGAAATTGCTCCTTCCTATCTGAGATTCAGAAAAGAACTTCCTTTGAGCAAGAATCTGACTGGAACTGGCTCGTGGACTCACAGCAACAGCAGTTCCATTTCCATGTGCTCTCTGGCTTCCAGTTGCTTGACCATCCTACAAGAGCTTCATATTACTTTTGCAACAACAACAACAAAGTATTATCCCACTAGGTGGGGTCGGCCTCATATTACTTTTGCAAATGCAGAAAAAACCATTAAAAAAACTGGTAAATCAAGAAATGTTACACGTAAAAAAAGGCTTCACCTGGCGATTCAATGCCTTGAAATCTGAACCAGGAACATTCAGCCTAGGATAGTGAGATTCAACATCATTGCATTCTACAACAGAAACAGATGTGTAAGCAGGGAATACGCTCAGCACGAAATAATATGTTGTAATGAAACTTTAACATTTAGAAAAAGTAAAAAGTCTTAAATTCATTATTGCTTTAAAAGAAACATATTTTTTTCTATTACAAAACAATGTAAGGGTGTTCTAAACAAGCTTAAACAGGTTTAATCAGGTTTCCCAATGAAAATGAAGATATTAAGTGATTCATTTTAAACACTAGAGCCAAATACTCTCTAAATGAAAGGCAAGTATAGATAAATTATAAGAATGAACTTACTAGTGCAAGAGGGTAAGTCAGCACCGGTAGGGAGCTGTGAAGGAAAATGTGGGGCATGATGCTTTGTTTGACTCCAACTGGTATGCTGATTCCAATTGTCTTTGAGATTGTCTGGTGATTTTTCTGGCAACGTTCCAGTTCACAATTACAAAATACAGAATTAGTCAAGGTTAAATAGTTATTAAACCAGGATTTTGGTTAAATGTTGGGAATTCTTAATTAACTCTCAAAATGGTGCGTTGAACTTTTTTTTTTTTGCTTCTTACGTTCTATAAAGTTTTGGATAGTGAATGCAACATCACAAGAAAGGTATAACGGATGTAGCTTGTCTGTTTTTAACATGACAAGCTAATAAGTGGTATACATCAAATGAAACAACAAAAACAACAATAATAGATTCACAAAGCATGTACCTTTTTCTAAGATTTCATGCGCCAAATTTGATAAGGTATCACTGCATCGATTCATAGAAAGTTCAAATCTTAAACTGTCAAGTTCACGTACATAGAGATCAACTGCCATCCATCTTGACAGAAGAGACACATCTTTCGTAACCTAAGAAGACATAAGTAGAGGGTTGAATAAGCTGTTATCATAGAAGAACGGAAACACACATGAGATTAAGAATATTACCTTTGATGTGACATTTGGGTTTCCATCTCGGTCCCCACCCATCCAAGACCCAAACTTTATTGGTGTGCAGGTCAATGGAAGCCCTCTTCCAGTATGCTGAAATGTTAAGAGGTCACATCATTCATGCAATACCTTAAAACTTCAATGGCAGTATCCCAAACTATCTGCTGAAAAGATACCTTCTTCAAAGCATTGCTAACGCGTCGTAGATAATGCGGCACAGCTTTCCATAGTGTCTGCTCCACAATATTTAAGCCTGAAAATATGAAATATATTTGCTTTGTGAATATGTGGAGCTACAAACTAAAGCTCTGTTTGATTGCTGAAAATGACTTCATGTGGAAAATGTTTTTTTTTGGAAAGCAAGGTGTTTAGAACTTGTCATTTCCACTCCAAGAATCGTGTTAAGTATTTTCCTGTATCAAACATTAAGAATTTGTTTCCAGCATATTTCTGACTCACGAAAAACCACAAGATATATCTGGAAACAAACACAGCCTATGTGTAAAACTCAATGAATATTTCAATCTTTAAAAGCTTACCAGCCCGGGCTTCATCAACTGGAGTAGGTTTGTGTCGCCTCAGCTCGTCTGTCTGCCATATTGAAGTGATCTCTCTCACCAGATCTTCAATCAACATGTCTCGGTCTTCAATCCCAAGATCAGTGCGATCATTGTACTCCAAAAGATGCTGGAAACACAGATTGTATGTCAAATGCAAAGGTCATATTTGTATACATCAGTGAAATAGTCTAGAATTACCGCTATTCTAATGTGTTTGTACTGTAAGGTTCTACGGTTTATCTGTGTTGGGTGTGCAGTAAGGACAATCTCAACCTCCTGAAAAAGGAAAAAGAAAAACAGCAGTTAGTGAATGAAGAAGCTGCACTAATATAAGGTTTGCTATACTCACTTGCTTGCAGACAGTGTCATAAAGTTCATCTGGAGAAATGCCACTCTGCAGAAGCCGATTGAAAGTGTCATCGCAAGATTTTGATAGCTGTGTCACACCTCGCGCCTTCCGTACCCTGCAAAAACAAAAACAAAACAAAAAAACCCAATTAAATGCTTTTGAATCCCAAATCATTCATTTTAGGAGCCAAACAGGTCCCTAGGCGAACAAACCATAAAACATAAAGCAGCACCTGTGATGAGTTTCTGCAATTCCCATCAGGTTGAGGTAGTGACTGAACGTCCGGGCAAGTGATAGCGCTTCCTCAAATGTCATGTTTGACATCTCTGAGGCCAACTGTTTCTCAAGAAGCTCTGCTGTGTCCTCTATCCCGGCTGCTCTCATGTTACATGCACTCTGAAAACTCGCAAAATATTTCCCACTAATCAATACATATTCACTACACATAGTGAAAAAGAAAATCTTTATTTCTCAAAGATTGAAACTTTACCCCCAAAAAAATTGAATGTACACTCACACTAATCACTATACAGTTACCAAGTATAAGCTTTACATGTATATATCCATAGCCAACGCCTAACAAAATTAATCTATATGAAATCACAAATTTTTGTGTATGTATCTTGGCTTTGTTAACAACAACATAGTGAAATGTAACACTGTTAGAAATAAAATTGAATTTATTTTTTTAAGAAAGAACAATCTTTGCTACTTCAGTTATAAACAGAATAAAATCTGGGCATGCAAAAAGAATCCATCAAATCAAGAACCCAAAAATAAAAATTGAAACTTTATGCTCGGATCACATGCTAGAGAGCAGATGTGAAAATCTCAAATTCAATTCTAAGGGTAAAAACAAGAAGAAAGATGAAAACAAAACCCAGAACCGAAAACGGAAAGAGCGGGCGATGTGTACTTGAGCGAGGCATCGAGTCCTTTCGACTTTCTCCATGAAATTGGGACCCAGTTCCCGGTGGAGCACATCGTTGAGAAGGCTTTGGAGCAGCCGGCAGTCATCCTCGAAGCTCTGGAAAGAAATCTCCTCTGCTATGTCGTCGGTGACGTCTGCCATTGTCTGTCTCCCTTCTGTGCGGCTTGGGATGCAACAGAAGAAAACGAGGGAGAGTGTGGAGAATGAGTGTGTTCAGTGGGATTCTGGGGGGGGGGGTTAAATTGAGCTGATCATAATACTATCTGGTGCAAATTATTGGGTACACATGAAAATGCATTTCTTAATTTGTTGAAGATACTAGATTCGTACTCGTGCGTTGGTCAATAATTTTTTAAAAAATTTCACTGTGAAAATCATAACACAACTATACATTAATTGATATAGTACATTGAAAGATCGGAGGGAATCGGTATACGGTACAAAAAGAAATCATTGCTAAAAATTAGAGCAATGCTAGGGGTACACCTTTGGTGTACCCCATTTGTCCCTCACCCCTTTATCCACCATTTAATTTTATTTTCTTTTTATTTATTTAATTTTGTTTTAGTTTCTTGCCTTTTTGTGTGGTGATGGAGGTGGTGGGGGACAAATGAGATACACTTTTGGTGTACCCCTAGCATTTTTCAAAAAATTAATCTGATAAAGTGATAAAGTTGATTGGGGTGGCGATAAAGAAGGGGATCGCGAGGTGATTTGGCATTGGTGTCGAACGGCGTCTCCAACATCCCCATCCACAGTGCCTTGATTGCTTTTATTCCTATTACAGTAAATGACTAGTTGAATAAAGTACTTCATCCGTTTCTCTTTTTATTATAATTTTTTTTTCTCTTCTCAATAACTTTTATTTATGCGATTTTATTAAGTATTTGATAAAATAAAATATTCTTATCACATCTTGTTTTGTATATTTTTTGACGTAATTTTTTTATATAATTTTTATTTTTTATTGATATACCAATTTGTAAATAAAAATATTTCCAAAAGAAAAATACAGAGTATTGTTTTCCTCATAAATCTCAATTTGTAATCAAATTAGATACAAAAGAAATACTCCCTCCGTCCCTAAATAGATTACAAAATTTTTTTCTCTCTCCTCTCGATAACTTTTGCTTGTTTACGCAATTTCATTAAGTATTTGATAAAATAACATATTCTTGTCACCTCTTGTTTTGTAGAACTTTTGACGTAGTTTTTTAATACTCTCTCTGTCCCAAAAAGTTTGTTACGTTTAGAAAAAACTGCGTCCCGTAAAGTCTGTTACATTTCTATTAAAAAACCACTTTTACCCCTTACTTTTTCATACACTACCTATCACATCATACATTTTTCCTAATAATCTACCCATCACATCCTACTTTTACCCATCACATCAAGGGTATTTTTGGAAAGTCAATACCAAAATATCCCTTCCTTAATTTCCCAAAAAATCAAACCGTCTCATTCTTTTTGAGACAGAGGGAGTATGTAATTTTTATATCTTATTGATATATCAATTTGTAAATAAAATGATTTTAAAAAGTAGAAAATTTTATTCCATAATCCACAATTTGTAATCAAATTGGGGATGGAGGTAGTATAATAATGGCACACTTTTCAAAAGATTTGGAAATCTATTATGTTAATGGGTACACTTATCAATGGCATGCTTAGCTCGTAGTAAATTGATAGGAATGTTTAAAGCACATCTTTCAATAAAAGTAAATAATTGTAATTAACACATCTATAAAGTAAAAGCCTACTAAAGCAAGTCTATACCCACATGCCTCACCCAACTCAAAAGCCTAGCAGTGCAATCAGCCCACCTTTCGTGAATAGTGTTACCCGGCCCAAATTTTTCAGGCGGGAACACTGTTCAAATGTGGCTCTCATCTTTGTATATGTATAGATTTTTGTAGCCGTGGCTTTTTGGGATCACCTTGAAGTTTGACCTTGACCCCTCATGGCAAAGAAGGAACAAGAGTGGATGGTCGGGTTCGATTCTTCTCGATAAGGGATTATCATACACAATGCACACAATTTTTGTACGTACTAAAAGAGTGGTGGAACCAGTATTGAGTCGCCTGAACCATGGATAGGGTGTATTCCATGGTTCACTAGAATCGTTTTAATAACTCATCCAAACCTGGAAAATGGGACAATCCGAGTCGGCACGGTCGAGTACACATTAATTAAACATTTACACTTTTTATCTTTAAATATAATTTAAAATTAAATATTAATAAAATTAATTACCAATAACATTAAATTTTTGAAAAAATAATTTTAAAATTAATTTTTATTCTTAATTTTAAATGAGACTTATACCAAAATTGAAAAAAATACCAAAAATGAAATTATACCAAAATGAGACTTCCATGTTTTTATTCCCAAAATAGAAATTAAAATACATTTAAATTACTAAAAGTGCTAATATACATTATCAAAAAGTTTAGTATTGTGCATGTCTACAGTGTCACATTACATTCACATTACCACAATCAAATTCTTATTTTGAGAATAATAACATAAAAGTCCTATTTTTATATTTTTTTCTATATTTAGTGATATTTAGGGTGATTTCTATAATTATTTAAAAATGATTGTAGTAAATTGGTGAGTTGGCACATGTATATTGTCACTTATAGTATGATAAAGTATGAAATAAGTGGAATTTAATGTGGCAATGATGTGGATGAGAGAGACAATACAATATACGCCCTCCATCCCAGAAAGAGATGGACATATTGACTAAAGTAAGATAGTGATATTTTTGTAAGATAGTGATATTTTTGTGTTGAATAAGATAGTGATATTTTTGTGTTGAATTTCCAAAAATACACTTGATGCGATAGGCAAAAATAGGATGTGATGAGCTGATTATTAGTAAAAAAGTATGGTGCGATAGATAGGATATGAAAAAATAAGAGATAAATGTTACGGAATATTTTTTGTAATTAGGAAGGAGATTATGAGTCTATTTTTTTGAAACGTGAAAGATTTTTTAAGACGGATGGAATAAAAAGTATGGAGGGGTGTATACCTTCCACACTAAGCAATAACCTTGATGGGTGGATAGCAGGATAGGAGGCCGCAACCCGTAAGTCCTTTTCTACAGTACTTTTTTTTTGGGAATATTGGCATTGCTGGACCTAACTTATGGGCCCGTCCGCTTTCTTTTATTAAATGGGCTTGGAAGTTATTACTAGCAACTAATCCGGGCGTTCATATCGATAAATGTGAATAAATCTAACAAAAATTGATCTGATCTACCGATTATTTTTTATTCGAGAATCAACTCAAAAACATAGGTCTTGAACAAAATTTTGTTGATCAACTCAAAATGACCAAACTCCAAATGACTCACTAAAAAATAAGGCATACCTCATACCTGATCGACCCGACTTAACCGACTTGCTAACGTAAAAGTTTTTTAAAAATTATGTGCGTTAATTTGAAAGATAATGTAATAGTATAAGATTATGTTTTTTACATTTTTATTATTATATATTACTAGTGTATAAAGTTATATTTTCTAGCAAGTTTTTTTTATAATATCACATCATTATCTGATAATTTTTCAAAAGTGATACATATTTAACAAACAACAACAACCCGGCGATACATATTTAATTTTGTAAAATATTCGTAATATTTTTCAACATATTTGATGTAACCCAAAATTGAAGCAATTGAATATAAACCCGACCTTACTCACCGATTTGGTGCAATTAAGAAACCAAATACCAATACATTTTCAAAATAGAGTTGTGTTTCCGTTAAGATCCACATGTAAAATGTGGATATTCTTACATTTTTCGGGCCGAGAAAAGGGCCTTTTTTGCAAAAGACCTAATTTTTTTATGGTCTACATAACTAAGGTCTATAAAATGAGTGTGGACTCAAGGATCATGAAATAATTTTTGTTTAAAACAAGTAAATTTGCAGTAATGTTATACTCCACACGGAAGTATCAATTAAAAAATCAAGAATCCAAAAGTGTGTAAACAAATCCTAAAATGTTTTTATAGTCCCAAAAAATGTATTTTCCATGATACAACCCTAAGTATATAAATACTACCATATAACTATTTTTTAAATTAAAAGAGACTAATTTTCAATGATTACTACCTTAAAAATAAAATATTCACAAACTTGCAAGATATATATATGTGTGTGTGTAATTCTCCATTCTTGTATATATGCAGCAAAAGGACCAAAAAGAACATTAAAAATGAAGACCACTAAAAATAAGGTCTAAAGAAACCATTGACTGTTCATTTTTGGCTGTTGACAAAATGTGTACTTTTGCGATGACGGAAAGATTCATTTATTTATTCTTTGTTTACAAGGATCACTTCACACACATCTCATTTTCTCTAATTTCAAAAAAAAAAAAACAATTGAACCTCATCCATTTGAAGATCTTTTAAGACTATCCTAAATAATAAATTATGAGATAAATTCTAGACCCGGCAAAATTTGACTCAATCTGTTATTGATCTGAAACTTGACCTGAAATTAGGGGGTTTTGAATATCGATTTTGCGACCCGAACCCGACGGGTTATGCACTTAATTGCTTATTTTTATTAGTTATTTAGTTTCATATACTCCCTCCGTCCCCAATTTGATTACAATTTTTTTTCTCTCTCCTCTCGATAACTTTTGTTTGTTTACGCGATTTCATCAAGTATTTGATAAAATAAAATATTCTTTTCGCCTCTTAATTTGTAGAACTTTTGACGTAGTTTTTTAATATGTAATTTTTATAACTTATTGATATACCAATTTGTAAATAAAATAATTTCAAAAAATAGGAAATTTTACTCCGTAACCCGCAATTTGTAATCAAATTGGGGACGGAGGGAGTATTTATTTAAAATATGATATACTCATTAAACTACTCAAAATTCAAAAGGTGTAAAATCTAATCCAATTTCAGGAACATTCTAGCTAGTCCCCTCTCAAATTACCAACTTTGTTTGATAAAGAGACATTACACCATATTTAATGCACATATTTAAAAAAAGAATATAGATCACATTGGACTGATTCTCCACAGGCTCCGGAGCGAAGTTTAATTCATCTTTAACTTTCTCTATAATGTTCACATTTGTAATTGGATTATGCTATGTGTATCCCAATTTGTACCCCGCAGTTTTGCACCAACATTTTGTGTTGGTGTAAAACTAATTTTTGTTAAACGCACCAACATTTGTGTCCGTGTGAATTTTTATTAACGCACCAACACTTGTGTCGGTGTAAACCATCGAAATGTTTGTGCAAACCTGTGGTGTACAAATGGGGTATATTTTTTGGTGTAAGTGTAGCATGGTCCTTTGTAATTTGTACACCTCCAAATTCAAGAGTTTAGATACAAAAGAAAATCAATCTTTTTTCAATTGATTTTACTCTTTAGGGATTTATTGTCCATGTAAAATTAGTGAATTTGTTTTTTATACTTCTAAATTTTTTTTGTAATGACTTTATTCCTGTTACTTTTTTCTCAAATGGATCTCACGGAAGCTAGAGTTATACTCCGTATATGATTTGGACCTTGTAAAATTAGCGAGTCTTCTTATTTTTATAACATTATATTTCATGGTAAAATATACTCCGTATGATTTTGAAAAATTCTTACATTAGTAGGTCAGTTAGGTTGTGTTTGGGTTCGATTGGGTTTGTCCCATTTTTAGGGGTCATGTTGGGTTCGGTCAACAAAATTTTTGTTCAAAACCCGTCAGTGTTTTCCGGTCGAGTTTCGGGTCAAAATAGATTGGGTCATTTTTTGACAGGTCTAATCTTTTCAGCTATTAATCATACGATCAAACTTTATTCATTTTGTTTTACAGAGTATTATTTTAACAACTCTTTTTATAATATAAGTATATTAATGTTACCTCATCTTTTGTAAAAATTGTAATGTACTAGCTGTAATTTTTAAATAATCTATTATATAAATTTCATTTTTAAATTTTACACCTAAGAGTAAATTGAATTTAGAATAAAATCATTCAAAATTCCTAATGTGATGAAGCTGGCTAGGGAGTAAAGTCAGTAAACCGAGTTTTTTGTTTTACCCATTGATTAGAGGTGCTGACAAAACTGTTTCCAAGGAGGGTCAGAATGTGGGACTAGGTGTCCCTCATACAGTATACCCTACGCCTGAAGGTCCCAACACTATTAAGGATGGGAGGGCCCAAAATCCGTATGCATGTCTCGCATGGCACCCACCCCTCCCTTGCCCTTCATCTCCTATTCGGACCTTGGATAATAATGACTACTCATTACTCTATGTCTCACATTTTTATTCTCCCTCCGTCTCCAATTTAATTACAAATTAAAGTTTACGAGGAAAAATATTTTACCTTTTAAAACCATTTTATTTACAAATCAGTATATTGATAAAAAATAAAAATTAAATATTAAAAAATTACGTCAAAAGTTCTACAAAACAAGAGGCTAGGTGACGAGAAGAGAAACAGAAAAAGTTTGTAATTGTCAAGGAACCAACTCAACCAAAAGCTCTAAGCTTGTGGTTGTGGCCCATGAAATATTTCTTATATTCTAAGACGCCCCCTCACGTGCAGGCGTAGTCTTTTTTTTCAAGCCTTGCACGTGAAACCTTAATTTTTTTAAAAATTGGGTGGCGCTGAGTTTCGAACCCGTGACCTCTTAGTCAACAAGGCTCTGATACCATGTCAAGGAACCAACTCAACCAAAAGCTCAAGCTTGTGGTTGTGGCCCAGAAAAAAATTTCTTATATTCTAACAGTAATCAAATTGGGAACGGGGGGAGTATGTGTTGTTTGCAAATAAAGTTTTTAATTAGCATGAAGTTCTAATGCTTTGAATATTTTCCTTTTCAAGCAGTTGCACAAAATTAAATGTTTCTTAAATCTTTCTTTTTTTTAGAGTTGAAATTTTTCTGGAACATAAAGAATATGTAATTTTAAAATCAATCGTTTTGTTTTGAAATAGAGTTTTAAAACGTTGTAAACGGAGTATTTAAAAAACCTTGTATATACTTAATATGGAAAGGGATGAATAATGTTCATATGTTAATGATGGAGCACTATATGAAGTGAGATAACTTGAATTACATTACTCTCATCTAATCGATATAAAATGTAGTATTTGTCTCTAGCTCATACTTACATAGGTCTCACATTTTGCACTATTACAATCGAGTAGAGTTGCAAGTTTGAACTCAACCAAATATATCCTTCTGAAATACAAATAACACATTTATACTACGTATTAAGTTAAAAAATAATTATTTATTGGGTGAAGTCCCGTACCATTGCACAACTTTGGGTGATGGACAGTGATAAGAGAGACTTGCCACATGACGATGATCAAATCCATTATAACACATAGCCTCATTAGGGTAGGGGTTCTTAAGTTCAAAAAATGCATTTATACCACTTTTCAAATACTCTTAATTTTAACTCAATGTAAATACAAACTAGGAATGAGAAGATCTCCTCTCAACAAGTACCGATCTATTTTAGCATTGCGTATCAATTTTTAGATGGGAATTTACCTTGGTATTAAAACATAGTGACTTTCATAATGTAGTACCATATGTATTTATTTTCCAATGTAGTATCACTTGTTATTGTTCATTGGTCATTGTTCAAATAAATGTTTAGCGCCATTTAACATTGTTCAAACTAAATATCCACCATCACTGGACATTATTCATACATTAGACATTTTTTTTTTGAATGCATACATTAGACATTATTCAAGTACTATTTAGAGAATAAAAAGTCTAAGTACTATATTGGAAAATGACATATATTTTAGTACTATTTAGTACAAAGTTCACTTTTTAGATATCATGTATTCCTCCATCCCAAAAAGATTGTTACACATCACTATTCAAAAAGCACGAGAATTTTTGTTTATTTGTGTGCTTTAATTGATTATTTGATAAAATAAAATATTCTTGTCACATCTTGGTTTGTAGAATTTTTTACATAAGTTTTAAATATGTAGTTTTTATTTTTTATTTCTTCATCAATCTTTAAATAAAATGAATTGATTGAAAAACTCAAAAAATTCCTTAATTTAGTGTAATGTTGCAATTTCTTTGGGATGGAAAAGTATTTTACAAATATATATTTACAATAATATGAAATTTTTATTGCCAAAATTAGGGTAACAATGACTCCATAAGAGCACCGAAAATGGGTGCAACGCCCATAGGCGTTAAGCCTTATTTAACGCACGGGGG